CAGCGTCGCACCGGGAGCCCCCATTCAGCCGATTGTCCCCCATGACCCCCAAATCTTTGTCATGACAGAGTCCCCCCCATCCTGTACGCATTGCCTGTGTGCTTTGTTCCTGGAGGGATGCATTTGCATGTAGTGATATTAAACCACATATTGTTTGCTTGCGCTGAGCTAGCAGGCACGTGTGAAACCTGATGGGTTTTTTGAAGGCTGCATCCGATCCATTCCAAAATTTCCAGGTGGATTTTGGGCAGATGCCAGTGGATTGTGGTGGGTGGGTGGGTAGGAATCAGAAAAGGGGAAGGGGGGGAATGGGACACACAAAGGCTAAAACTCACATGACATATCGGCTGTCTCCTTTGGCGTACTCCTTCCCTGGAGGCGAAAACAAGATTCAGCTGAAACGGTTGTTCGTCGGGTCAAAAAGAACTAATCAAATTCATCATTTTCTGGGCCGGGAGGGAGGAACATGGAGAGATTTTGAAACAAGGGAGGAAATATTCTAAAACCCATTCGGTTTTCACAAAGTTTTAGGGCTGGGAATTTCCATAGTTTCCTCTCCCTGCTCCCAGCTAGGAGCAGTGGAAGCTCTGGAGCTGTTTCTACAAGGATCCATAGTTCTCCCCGGCCTCCAATTTCACGGGCTCCCGTCCCTTCTCTCTGGAAGAGGATTCACCTGGAGGGCAGGTAACCTGTTTAGCAGATTTCCTTTCCTCACATCACGGGGTAGCAAACAGCTCCCGTCAGGGCTCCCCTCAGCTGGGCTAGAACCCAGGAGTCCTGGCTCCCAGCCTCCCCTGCTCTAACCACTAGACCCAACTCCCCTCCCAGAACTGGGGATGGAACCCAGGAGTCCTGGCTCCCAGCGCCCCTGCTCTAACCACTAGACCCCACTCCCCTCCCAGAGCTAGAGATCGAACCCAGGAGTCCTGGCTCCCAGCCTCCCCAGTCTAACCCACCAGACTCCATCCCCCACCCAAAGAACCCAGGAGTCCTGGTTCCCATGCCTTACACAGCTGGGAGAGGAAGGACTGGTCCCCTGGTATATCTGTGTGGTAGAGGCTGAACCAGCCCTCAATCACGCCATGGATGAAGCCGCAGATGGCGAACCAACAGAGGGCCAGGCGACGCCCGGGCCTCATGGGCGCCCCCGTCCACCCCCGCCAGCCGGCGGCCAGCCAGGTGAGCATCAGCAGGGCCGCCGAGACAGAGAAGAGGAAAGCCAGGCTGTGCCAGGTGGGGCGGTCGTTGGGGATGTAGCGCCGGATCTCCAGGTCCCGGGGCCAGTAAGGGTGGGGGGCGGCGAGGGGCTCGGCCTCCAGCCCCATGGCAGGCAAGACAGCGACTCCCACTGCAAAGGAAAAGAGGGATGGTGTCAGGAAGGGGATCCAGGGACTTTCCCCTCTAGGGGGCGCCGGCTCTGATCCGGATTGGCGGGTGGGGGGGGCGCAGATCCACCCCCAGCTGGGCTGGGAACGGGGACCCCCGGGGGGGTGTACGTCACTGCGTGCAGCCCCCTGCGTGCCCGCCCCGGCAGCCCCTCACCCGCTCAGCGCCTCCGGCCCGAGTCCCAACGCTGCTGGCAGCTGACCGCAGACTGAGGCCGGCGCCCGCCCGGGCGGCCACCTGCAGCCCTAAGCCCCGCCCCCGCGACCAATGAGCGCGCTCCTTGGCCGCGGCAGGCGGGCGGGGCCTCCCCCTCCGCTCGATCCGCCCGCCCGTTGGTCCGCGGGCCTTTTCTTCGCGGCCAATGGGAGGCCGGGGCGCTGGTGGGCGGGGCCGCGAGAGGCCCTCCCGAGGAGCGGATTGGCCCAGAGACCGGCTGAGGCGATGTGGGCTCAGCAGGGGCGGGGGGGGGGGGGGGAGCCATGGTAACAGGTGTCGTCAGAGCGGGGGATTTAAAAGGAGGAGGGAAGGGGCCGTATTTGGGAGGGGCCTGAGCCCAGGGGGAGGGGCCAGTGTGCAGGGGAGGGGCCTGAGCCCAAGGGGAGGGGCTACTATCCAGGAGGAGGAGATTGTGCCCAGCAGGGGGAGGCGCCTTTGTCTAGCAGGGGGAGGGGCCCATATCCAAGGGGAGGGGTCTGTGCCCAGGTGGAGGGTCCAGTGTCTCGGGGGGGTGGGGCCTGTGCCCCGGGGGTGCTCATCAGGGGAGGAGCCTGTGGTTGGAGGGTGGGGCTTATCTTCAAAGGCAAGGGTGAGGCAGATGGTGAGGCCCACTCACAGGTGTCCTGGGTCCATGGGAGGGGCTTATACTCAGTGGGGGGAGGGGCTT